AAACCTTTGCAATAAATAACACCAGTGTACCTTTGCAAAACTACGTAGGTACCTAGTCGAATTTGTGGACCCGTCATAGACCATATATGCTTATGGAAATCAAGAAGTGAATTCGCATCTAAAACTTTCTCAGAGAAAAGATGTCCTTGAACCCACAATTGTCTTCTCCCTTCCACTTTTGCTTAGAGCTCCCTGATTTGGTTGTCATATGCTCCAAGGTCACATCTCGCAATGGTCTACATATCACTGGAGATGTGACAGACTTTTTTTCCTCTTCACCTCGCGCCCTACTCGCTACCATCACCAGGTTGGGCTGCTCCACCACCACGTTAGGTTGAGGGTTTTACGCTCTACGTATCTTTTTTGCAATTATTCGGTATATCTTTGCCTTCGTGAGCTGTATGACCTGCTCACCTCCGGCTCGCCTCGCTAGTTATTTCGTTTGGTTTCTCTAAACACTCTAGGATCTTACCACCTTCATAGAACCTCTCGGCGCACCCTCCAAACATCTGGCAACCACGACAATCTGCTGCTCCGATGACTTCTCTCTCCTTAGATGAGAACCTTCTTCCCCTTCACCACATCTAAGCTCACCGGATCTCCCTCCGGCGTCAGGACGTGACACACACACACCTGTAAAACTCGTCCGTGGAGTGACCAAAACTCTACCCTCACCTGGCCATCCCATTGGCGGTCCAACTCCAAAAGGCGACTTGATCACCCACGTCTTCTCCAAGCTGACGTTGAGATTCTTCCTCTAACTTTAATCAACCATGATTGTATTCTATGATGTGCTCATACTAAATGGTACAGAAGTGAAGAACAAATTGTGGCTTACACAAATTGTGGCTTACACCAAGTGAAGGACAAAATTGCAGGTAATATAATTTTTTAATCTGTGAATACAAACTTATTTGTTCATTAATTCTACATCATAATATGTGAATCCAAATTGATTTTGTCATCATTATTTATGTCAAGTGTCTTCGTACTGAATAATTTTATGATTATCATAATATATTAGCTAATTTAATATACTAATTCAAGGATAAAAATATGGCCCGTGTATCTTAATCAAATTATTTGGAACCAAAAATTTTGCAGTGACATACTTAATGATTTGATAAGTCTGGTAATTTTTCTTACGAGCGCATTACTGATAAATAGTCCATTTTTAACATAACTAAATTGTTATTTGATTCGAATATTCACACTGTAGGAATGGATGTGGAATATTCACACTGTATGTCGTAGGACCTATCCATAGTTCCTTACATACATATACTGCCGATAGGTCCTACGACATACTTTCCATAGGTCTATATACATAACTGATCTCAGGTCGACCAAATATACTGTCAATAGGCCTACATGTGTGAATTGTCCTTAGCTTAGCCACATCAAAAGCTATCAAAAGGTCCATGCTTATATTCAAGCTACTACGTGTTATGGCCATGTTATTCGAGCTAATCAAGAATAACTCGCCCGAGCTACACGAGGGACAACTCAACTGAGCTAACTATGCCTGACACAAAAGATGGCAAATAGATCGCCTCTTTCTCAATTTCCAGTTTTTGTAAATTGAAATATTTTGGTAGTAGGTGTGTGAAAAAGTCTAGCGTCGTATAGGATTTTGGTCCCTATATGTATAAAAGCATAACCAAACAAAAAAGCAGTAGGTATAGATGTTGTGACATGTGAAAAAGAGAATTACGTCTCCACTTGAATCCATTTTCAGACATGAATCTAGACCCAAAGTTTTTTTGTCATAAAAAATATTATTTTAAACAACTCATGATAATTTATTTCTATAATTTAAATTATTATTTTAATAAACCACTCATAATTATTTTGTTTCACAACACTATAGACCCAAGTTAAAAAAAAAAAAAAAATATACATTGAGGTAGGCATGGTCTATTTTTCTATTGTATCTCCACATCATTTAAGATACAAGTCTATTATATTGAAACAACACAAAATTAGACCCAAACCACTATGGATGTTCGCACACGGTGCTCGCATCCACAATGCTTTGGACCTATTGGAGAAAAAGTCTATTAGAGATGCTCTTAGAGCAAATCTAGTGTTTGTCTCCATTGGAGAGAAAGTCTCGTGTCACACAAGATTTTAGACCTTTTGTATAAAAATGGTCTCTAATGCAAACAAAAGAAGATTAAATTTAAATGATGCAACGTGTAAAAAAATGGACTAGGTCCCCAAGTTAAAATTGCATTGGAATAAATATGGTATATTTTTTTTTTTTTTTTTT